AGCAACTCTTTGCTCTTGAAAAGCAATTTCTTTGCTCTTGAACGTGCTGTGAGGGCCCGGTCATGGCTGTGGAGGAGCTCCTCTCCTCAGCTTGAGGGGTTTGGCACTGTATGGAAGGCATGGCAACAGTCTGGAGCAGAGCAGACCCTTGTAGCAGGTGATGTTCCCAGGCTTGCCAACCCCTGATCCCACTGCCCACCCCCAGTTTTCCCGTGGGGAATAGCTGGCTGCGGAGGGAAGGAGGCCTTGGCTGGGTGGGAAGGGAGCGGCATCTGACTGCCTCGTGGTGTTTCCATCACTGTCCAGCCCTGCCTTGCGTTATCTGGAACTAACGGGGCATCAAGTGTATTAAAGCCTGGCCCTGGATCAAGCCTCAGGATTAACTTGCTGGGAGGCAGCTGGAATGGTGTCCTGGCACCTCTGCTCCTTCCTGAGTTGCCTTTATGGCTGTGGCAGGAAACCTGGAGGGGCAAAGCTTGCAGGTGACGCAGAAGCCCCTGGGACAGCAGCTCTCAAGGGGCAAATGGGGTCTCAGCTAGGGCCTGGCAGGAAGGTTTGTTTGAGCTGGGTGGACATGGTTTAGCGGGGGACCTGGCAGCACTGGGTTAATGGTTGGGTGTGATGGTCCTAGAGGGCTTTTCCAGCCTTTAACGATTCCATGATTCTATGGGTCCACTAGAAGATCTCTGGTGCTGCTGCTCTCTTTATCAGAGCAAAGAGGCTGCAAAGGTCCCCTATCACCATCTGCTGTGGGACTGCCTCGCTTCAGGGCTTGGAACTGGCTTGTTTGCCATTCCTTTGGAAACCCCCAGGTTTCAGCCTTGCAGCCACTGCCCAGCACCACCAGCATGGCTGGACAAGCCATGTGCCAGAGCTGGCATCACATGGGCTGAGCAGAGGTAGAAGCCAGGACCCAGCCAGACACCCAGCAGAGCTTTTACAGGGATCTTTTGGCTGTGCTCCTTGTTTTCCCTCTCCTGAGGGCTCCCTGGACACAGCCAACTGCCCCACGCAAGGACAGCTGGCAGGTTCTGCAGCCCACATGTTGTATTTTCTGGGATAATCTGCACTTCCTTACTATTTGTTTGTGTTTTGAAAGCACCGTGTGCATCCAGGCCACTTGTTCATACAAGAAGCCACCACAAATCCCTTCCCAAGGATGCTGCCTCCAGGCAAACCTCTGTAGCATCCTGGCCTCAGCAGGAGAGGTGGTGTGCGTAGCAGCCTGAACCCCACTGCAAGAACCCCTGAACCCCACAGCCTGAGCTCCCATTGCAAGCAGGGTCACCCAGCACATCCCAGAGCCCAGCCTGGGTCCTTGCTGCAAGATGAGACACAGGGAAGCTGTTGGGATGGGAGTCTGCCAAGTTGGGATGCTGCCCATTGTCTGATCCCAGTGGGAAGGAGCAGGGGACGGTGCTGTGAACTGAACTCTGAGAGAGGAGATACCTCCCCTTGGCGTCTCTTCTTTGGGCAAGACAAGTAAAATAATATTTGGGCTGGCCTGAAAGCACAGGGTGCCATGTCCAGGCAAGGAAACGCGATGGACTTAGGAAAACAGGGACAGGGGCAACCGCAGTTTAGCCAGGCTGACAGTGACATAATATTAATGAATTTTAATTAGATTAAGTTATATAATAAATACATTATAAAGATATAGTTTGTATAGAATTAAAACAATGATATCAGTTCCTCTCACATACAAATGCCCCCAGCTGGGTGGTGACCTCTTCCAGCTTCTCACAGTGTGGGCAGCAGATCCCATCCATCCTTTTTCTCCCTCTCAAGGATGTGGCGGCCGAGGGGCACAGCAGGTCACATCACAGCCGGGTGGCTTGTCTGTGTCCCCCACCCATCCGTGGTCTCCTTGCAGGGGGTGATTGCAGATCTGAAACTCCGAGGGGACCCGCGGGCGGCTGAGCGCCAGTGTGAGGAAGAGGAGGATGATGCAGAGGTGAGCACTGGCAGCGTGGCCGGGGAGGGCTCGGGGGTGCCCCCACCATGCTCCCAGCTCTCACTCCTTCTCCATGGGCAAATGCAGGTCTCTGGGGATTTTGGCAGTGGGATGGAAGGTGGACAGCAGTCCTTAAGCAAGGCTGAGGTGAGTTGCTGCCCACAAGTGTGGCACCCAGGGTGGGACCCCAAAATTCTCATGACAGGGAGGGCTGAGTGCCTTGCGTGGCTGAGGTCATGGGATGCTTGATGGTGTCCCAGCACCTGTCCCTTTTGGGAAGGAGCTGGGAGGTGAACGGTGTCGTGGTGTCCCCTCATTGTTGGCTCAGGGTGTCCCAGGGCTGGTGGATGCTGTCCCTGTGACCTCCCCCCCCGTGGTGGGGGGCAGCGGCCCGAGGAGTGGCGGGGGGTCCCTGCAGCAAGCTGAGAGGACCAGAGCGGAGGAGACGCTGCGGGTCCCTACGGGAGGTAATTCCAGCAGCTTTCCCATCCCCAGGGTGAACGAGTGGGGACATGGTGGTGGTGTGGCCATCCCCAGCCATGACTGGGTTATTTTCTTTTTCCACAGGCACCGGTCAGAAAGGCGAAAAGGGAGAGAAGGGGGAACGTGGCTTGAAAGGGGACTCAGGGACCAGTGGCATTGTAGGGCCAGGCAGTGTCAAGGGTCAAAAGGTGGGTGAGAGTTGATCCCTGGGAGCTCGAGGGTGCCAGTGACATGTCTGTGTTTGACACACACTTCTGTTTCTGATCCTCAGGGGGAGAAAGGAGACCTGGGTGTCAAGGTGAGCATCACTGGGGGAGCTGGCACAGAGCCACGCCCTACCCAGGCTGCCACCTCAGAGACCTGCCACCCACTCCCATCTTCCTCCCCTCCCCAGGGCAGTGCTGGATTTGGCTACCCTGGCTCTAAGGGCCAAAAAGGAGAACCAGGTAACCCTGGACCCCCTGGGACCCTCTCTCGGCATGCTGATGGCTCAGTGGTTGAGCAGGTCACCGGCCCCCCAGGGACACCAGGGAAGGATGGAGCCCCTGGCAGGGATGGCGAGCCTGTGAGTCAATTCCTCCCTGTACAGGGCTGTCCCTGCCCACTACCCTACCCACCTGCACACTGACCTGTCCCCTCTCTGCCATCCCTAGGGAGATCCTGGCGAGGACGGCAAACCTGTAAGTGGGGTGGAGGTGGTGGCAGGGTGATAGGGGATGGCCACCTCCTTACCTTGCCACCTGCTGACCCCCCACCCTCCCCTTTGCAGGGTGAAATGGGGCCCCCAGGGTTCCCTGGGATGCCGGGGGAGCCGGGCCTGAAGGGGGAGAAGGTGAGTGCCGATGCTGCCCCCCTTCCTCTCATCCCCAGCTCAGCTGCACCCGCAAACCGCACCCTCTCCTCTATGCCAGGGTGACCCAGGCATGGGGCCGAGAGGACCCCCTGGACCACCTGGCCCTCCAGGACCCCCGGGACCCTCCTCCAAGAACGATAAGCTGGTGAGTGCCCCCTGGGACACAGGGATTTGAGGGATGGTGGGTCCATCGAGCCATAGAGGTGCGGAGTGCTGCCACCGACCCCTGGGCAAGCCCCAGTGCCACCAGGTGCCCTGACATCACCCTTGTGCTTCTCACCCAGACCTTCATTGACATGGAGGGCTCTGGCTTCGGCGGTGACCTGGAGAGCCTGCGGGTGAGTGGGGGTGAGTGCCTGTCTTGCCAGCTGGGAGTGGGGGACACCCTCAGCCATGGCCCCCCGTGTCTCTTTTAGGGTCCACGAGGCCCGCCTGGTCCCCCAGGGCCACCTGGCGTGCCCGGTTTGCCAGGGGAGCCAGGACGTTTTGGGATGAACTGCACAGACCTGCCAGGACCACCTGGACTGCCGGGCAGGGACGGGATCCCTGGGCCCCCGGGGCCAGTGGTAGGTCTGTGGGGTGGCCAAGGAGACCCATCCCCCATCCCAGGGCCACTCTGTGGCCATGGGGGGCTTGGTGCCCACCAGCCCTACGGGGTTTTCCTATGCTGGAACCAACTCCTGGGATCTTACAGGGTCCTCAGGGTCCTCCAGGAAGAGATGGGGAGGTTGGGCAGCCGGGGCCCAAAGGAGAGCAGGTGAGTGGCAGGTTGGCTCTGCCTCATGTGCCCCAGGAGCATGTCACAGCTGTCCCACAGGGCATCTGGCACCCCTGGCACATCTCTGGGAAGCCCCAGTTCCTGGGCTGGGGAGCACCATTCTGCTCCTGCCTGGAGCTGGGCAGCTTCTTCACACCCCCTTCTCTCTCCTCCTTCCCAGGGTGATGTGGGTGACCTTGGCCTCCCTGGCCTGCCAGGACCCAAGGTACTGTGCCTGGGGTGGGCTTTTTTGGGTTCTCCATTGCAGACTGGAGGCAGGGAGTTGCCTGGGGGAGCCACCTTGCACAGGAATGGGGAGGGGGGTGCTGCTATTTGTGTTCTTCCCAGATCAGGGCCATATCTCAAAGGTGCATGGAGCTGCTGACCCCACAAAGGATACTCACCGAGCACCTGCTACCCTGCCTTGGCTTTGCTCCAGGCATTGCCACGTCAGGAAGTGGGCAGGAAAACCAAGGGGGGGTGGGGGGGTGGGGGGGTGTTTCAAGACACAGAGAAGACTTTGCTTGGGGGGTGCCCACACCCCACTGGAAAATACCCCATCTTCTGTGCATGACTCTCTCCTGTCTGCTTGCTCCAGCTTCTTTCCACCCTGCATCCCCAAAGGTGAAGTAAAGGCTTGCTGGGAGCCCCTTAGAGTTGGGATGCTGCCCCTGAGGATGATCATCCACCGCAGCCTGAGCTGGGGGCTAAAACCTCAAAAAATAAGGTTTCTTAACCTTAATTCTAACTTTCTGCACTTCTGCAGCACCCAGAGGACAGACAGGGTGGCAGCGGGTGTAAGGTCCAATCCTGTTGCTTCCAGACCCATTGCAATCCCAGGAATGCCTGCAAGCATTCCTTTATGGCACTGAGCTCTGCTGCAGCACTGGAGCCTGGAGCCGGCCCGAGCTGCAAAAACATTTCCATTTTATGATTTTAGACGAGCCTCTGGTGGCCACTGTGGACATTACATGGGGAGCTGGTGGGATGAAGGGTGCCCAAGCTGGGCAATGCCCCCTCCCACAAAGCCTCTAGGCAGGGGAACATCAGGAAGATCATTCTTGTCCTGTCCCAGAGGGGATTTGTGAGAGGATGCTCTGCCTCCTGCTTGCAGGCTCCAGGCAGTGACCACTGCCACCTTCCATCTGTCCACTTCTTGTCTCCTTTGCAGGGCAACAAAGGAGAAATGGGACCAGCAGGACCCCCAGGAGAAATGGGCTTAGCTGGCCTTCCTGGGCCCATCGGACCTCGAGGGCAGCCAGGGCCCCCTGGCCCCCCAGGACCACCAGGGCCAGGCTACGAGGCTGGATTTGTGAGTGGTCACTGCAGGGATGGGATGGGATGAGCTGGAGCCAGGCACAGACACAGCTCAGCCCTTTCTCCCTGCATTTAGGGTGACATGGAGGGCTCAGGGCTGTCATTCACCCCTGGACCACCTGGGCCTGAAGGACCACAGGTAGGACCATTGCTGCCCTTTCCCTCCTTTCCATCCTGGGCTCCCTGGGGCATTCCCAGCCATCATGTCCCCTGCCATCACCCAGTGCTCATGGTCCCCTTGTTGCTTGCAGGGTGTGCCGGGACTGCCGGGGGTGAAGGTGAGGAACCCTTCCAACGTGCTCCTGGCTCCATCCATGTAGGATGCCTGCAGGCAGCCTGTAGGGATGCCTCTGACACCGCTTTACTTGCAGGGAGAGGTCGGCAGCCCTGGACAGCCTGGCTTGCCAGGACCAAAGGTAGGAGCACTGGGAGGTTGGGATGGCTTTGTGCCAGCACCTAGGGGTGCAGGGCAGTGGGCAGGAGTCCTGTGCTCCACGACCTGGGACTGCATCCTACCCTTTACTACTCCCATTGCAGGGAGATGCTGGCATGCCTGGCATGGATGGCCGCCCTGGCCCGGAGGGCTTCCCTGGACCACAGGTAGGAGCCTCAGCCCCACAGCTCCAGAAGATTCCCAGGCAGGGCACCCTTGATAGCAGCAGCTCCATCTCCAACAGCCAAAATTCCCCCTCCCTGCTGTGGGACCTGGCTCATTGCGTGTCAAGGGGTGCCCACACTCCCTAGGATCCTGTCACCCCCCACCTTGTTGCCCCTCTGGCCACCACCTCCACCCAAAATCATTGCAGCTTGGCTTACTGCCTGGAGCTGGAGGCAGAGGTGGGCTTGCCTGAAGGATTTCTTGAGCCAGAGGTGGGAGGGGGTCTGCACTGGTGAGCCAGAGTCCATCTCCATTTGGTGCTCCTACTGCTCTTTTCAGGGACCCAAAGGTGACAAAGGCAGCACCGGTGAGAAGGTAGGTGCCACCAGGCTGGGGATGGGGACCAGCCACTGGTGGCCCTGGGCTGATGGCTTAATGTTTTCCAGGGAGAGCGAGGCCAAGATGGAGTGGGGCTGCCTGGCCCCCCTGGTCCTCCTGGACAGGTCATCAGTGTCTCCAGTGAAGATGTAAGTGGTGGCACTTGGCTTCAGCAAAGGGCAGGGGAAGGTGCATTCCAGCAGCCATCATGAGCCTCGCCAGCAGCTCTGACCCTTAGACCCAAGATCAGGGGGAAAAACCTCATTTTGTCTCTTTTTGCAGAAGTCTTTGGTGGCTTTTCCTGGTCCAGAGGTAGGTGCCCTTCTGCCACCTGTGCCCACCCCTCAGCAGTGCCAGGAGGGCACCCTGTTTTTGGAAAGAGGGGGATTACTCTTAGGAGCATCTCTGCTTCTCCCTGCAGGGCAGACCAGGCCGCGCTGGCTTCCCAGTGAGTTGGTGACACGTCTGGGGACCACGAGGTGGCCCTGGTGACAGCTGTGGTTGCCAGTCCTGCTGTGCTTTGCTGCAGAGTGGTGGTGGTGACAGAGGGGGAGTTTGGGGTCTGCTTTGGCAGGTTGGGAATGACATAGACTCTGTATCCTTTCTTCAGGGGCCGGTGGGACCGAAAGGAGACCAGGGGTCAACTGGTCCCCAGGGTGCCCCAGGGCTGAAGGTATTTGCTCCAGGCCACCTGCACCCCGTGGAGTGGTCACATTCCTGGTCCCTCATTCTACCTGGCCACCAGGCGACACCAGCTCTGTCATGGGAGGGAGCCTGGTCCCTCCGTGTCCCCTCCCACCTCCCCTTCTCTTGCAGGGGGAGAAGGGGGAGCCCGGCGTCATCATCAGCCCTGATGGGACCGTGGTCACTGCCAAGGTGAAAGGAGAAAAGGTGGGTTCCTGGCAGGAATGGGGGGGCACGTCCCCATGGCACAGGTGCTAGTGGTGATGCCCTTTCCCTCTCCATTGTTTGCAGGGGGAGCCAGGGCTGCAAGGCCCAACGGGACCATCGGTAAGTCACCATCACCATCCTCCTCCTGGTGTCCCACGGGGAGGGATGGGAACGATCCTAGACAGAGGGAGTGCCACCATACTCAGCATCCCTCACCCTGACTCCTCTCCCTTCCAGGGTCCCCCAGGACGAGCAGGGATGAAGGGAGAGATTGGCTTTCCGGGCAGACCCGTAAGACCTGCTCCCAGATTGTTTGTGTCCATCGCCTCCGCTGCGTCCCCCTCCCCGTTTGCACGTCCTGCACCCACTGAGCCCCACACCCTGCCGTCCCCATGAGGGATGGGGCGGTGCTGGGGTGTCAGAGGTGACTCTGGAGCACCAGATGTGACACCAGGGGCTGGCAGGGGGACAGGGACAAGGCTCATCGTGCTACTCATCCACAGGGACGTCCCGGCATGAATGGGCTGAAGGGCGAGAAGGGTGACCCCGCAGACGTGCTGGGCTTGCGGGTGAGCACTGCTGTGACCCTCAGCTGCTGGCCCTGCATGGCAGGGCACACACCCCGAGGGTCTCCCCAAGGACCCCAATCCCTTAGGCAAAGGGCACATCTCCTTCTCTCAGGGGCTGGTTGTCCCCCTCCATGGCAGGGACTGTCCGCTTTGCAGGATTTGGCAAATCTTCTCACCCCCCACAGGGTCCCCCAGGCCCCCCAGGCCCCCCAGGACCCCCTGGGCCACCCGGCAGCATAGTCTACAACAACGGCAATGTGAGTATCGCCATAGTCACCATGATGGACAAGCTGGTGACTGGGCCCCCAGTGTCCCCTGCCTGCCTGGAGGGCACTGAGAATGCTCTGGTGACATCCTGGCTGGGGCTGGCATGTGGGACGGTCACCAGCATTGAGGGGGGGCCCCGAGGATGCTGCTGTCTCTGCAGCCACTTCGTTTGCATCTCCACAGACCTTCAGTGACTCCAGCCACCCGGCGTTCCGTGGTAAGGAGGTGTCCCTCTCGCAGCCCCCTCTGGGCATTTTGAGAAACCTTGGCAAAGCAGGGCTCAGGGGGAACCCCCTGCCTCCCTTAAAGCTGCAGCTCTGAGATGGCATCTCTGCTGCTCCCCACAGGTTTCCACCAGTTCTCAGGACAAAAGGGAGAGAAAGGTGACACTGGACCCCCAGGACCCCCAGGTAGGTGACTGGTCCCTGCTGGCAGAGGCAGGCCAGCTCGTGCCTTTCCTGGCTCCTCTCCCCTCTTCTCCCTCTCTCCACAGGCCAGTTCCCCTATGATGCAAGTCACTTCGGTACCAGCCTGCGGGTAAGCCCTTTGCACATTGGCAGCTGAACCCAGCATCACTTGGGGTGCCCAGTCCATCCCAGCTGCTCACCCTAAGGCTGTGCCATCCCACAGGGTGACAAGGGAGATGCAGGTCCCAAGGGTGAGAAGGGTGAGCCAGGCAGCACCCCACTCTACGGTCCTGGGGTCTCTGGACTTCCAGGGCCTCCAGGGCCCCAGGGATACCCCGGGCTGCCGGTGAGTACCTCATAGGGTGGAGAGTGAAGGGGGTTGCAGTGGGGGGTGGCATCCCTGGAGGCTTTGCTCCAACAGATATTCTCTCACACTGTCTAGGGTCCCAAGGGGGACAGTATTGTTGGTCCACCGGGGCCTCCAGGACCTCAGGGTCCCCCTGGTATCGGATATGAGGGGCGGCAGGGCCCCCCTGGCCCTCCTGGTCCGCCCGGGCCACCCTCCTTCCCGGGTCCCCACAGACAAGGTGAGTACCTGCTCTACTGCAGTCTGCCCTGCACCCCCACATCCCTCCTTGCCACCCCCAGCATTCCTGTTTGTATGCCATGCATCCCTCCTTGCAGCTCTGCATCCCTCCCCATGCTGCACCTCTCTCCATTTCACCCTCCTCCTCCCACAGCTGTCAGCATCCCTGGACCCCCGGGACCACCAGGACCCCCTGGACCACCAGGCAGTAGCGGGATGTCCTTGGGGGTGAGTCAGGGCTCTGGGCAGGGTTGCCCACAGTGCAGGCAGCCGATCCCTGAGCCCTGCCCTGGCCGGTGCCCACAGCTCCAGGCCATGCCCACGTACCAGGCGATGCTGAGTGCTGCGCACGAGCTGCCCGAGGGCAGCCTCGTCTTCCTGAGGGACCGGGAGGAACTGCACGTCCGCCTGCGCGGGGGCTTCCGCAGGGTGCTGGTGAGTGGGGGGGCCAGAAGGGCACCCCGGCTGGGGAGCGCGGACAGCACTGCCCTGGGGGCTCGGTGGTGACTCTTGGTGATGCTTGGGGGGCAGCTGGGATCTGATGTGCCATGCCCTTGCAGCTGGAGGAGCACAACCTGATCCCCAGTTCGGCTCTGGTGAGTCCTCTGTTTCCTGTGCACATCCTCATCCCTATCCTCCTTCCCAATCCCATCTTTATCCTCCATCCTCATCTATCTTCATCCCATCCACAACTATCTCTATCCATCAGCAATCAACTTCATCCCCTTCTCCATTCATCCCCAACCGTATCAATCCCCATCGCCATCTCCATCCAACCCCAGCCATCACCATGCACATCTTCATCCAACATCAACCATCACCATGCACATCTTCATCCAACCCCAATCATCACCATGCACATCTTCATCCAACCCCAGCCATCACCATGCACATCTTCATCCAACATCAACCATCACCATGCACATCTTCATCCAACCCCAGCCATCACCATGCACATCTTCATCCAACATCAACCATCACCATGCACATCTTCATCCAACCCCAACCATCACCATGCACATCTTCATCCAACCCCAACCATCACCATGCACATCTTCATCCAGCCACAACCACCTCCATCCATCCCCAACATTCTCCATCCCCATCCCCATCCCCACCTGGGGCACCACGCCGCCCCTCATACCGTGTCCCCCTCCCCAGGACAACGAGGTGTATGACAAGCCACCCACCCTCCACTATGCCGGCCCCCAGCCCCGTGGGCCCCTGCACCCGCTCCGCAACCACGTCCCCTCAGCCACTGCCCGTCCCTGGCATGGGGACGAAGTGGTGGCCAACCAGCACCGCCTGCCCGAGCAGCCCCTGCTCCACCACCAGCATGAACTCATCAATGGGTACTACATCCACCGCCGGCCAGATCCTGCCCCCGTGGCCGCCCATGTGCACCAGGACTTCCAGCCCGCTGTGAGTGCCACGTGCCAGCTGAGGGGAGCTGATGGTGGTGGCCAAAGCCGTGTCCCTCAAGCCCCGTTGTCCTCTCTTGGCAGCTTCATCTGGTGGCCCTGAACACCCCGCTGAGTGGCGGCATGCGTGGCATCCGGGGCGCGGATTTCCAGTGCTTCCAGCAAGCCCGGCAGGTTGGGCTGGCCGGCACCTTCCGTGCCTTCCTGTCCTCGCGCCTGCAGGATCTCTACAGCATTGTGCGCCGGGCCGACCGTGCCGCCGTCCCCATCGTCAATCTCAGGGTATGCATGCCTCCATCCCCTTCTCGACACTCTCTGAGCTCTGATGGACCACAGAGTCATTATGGTTGGAAAAGATCCCTTTAAGATCAGCAAGTCCAACTATGAACCCAGCACCACCGAGGTCTGGCATGCAGAGCGCAGCAAAGCCCCCATCCATCATGAAGCATCCCCTTCCCAGAGGCTGCTGGGGCTTGGAGCTTCTGGGCTGCTCTTGGGGTGCTGTAGGCAGGGCTAAACCCCCTCCTCCTCCATTTTCCCACCCTTCCCACCAGGATGAAGTGCTCTTCAGTAACTGGGAAGCCCTTTTCACGGGTAGCGGGGCCCCGCTGAGGACTGGTGCCCGCATCCTCTCCTTTGACGGCCGGGATGTCCTACGGGATGCAGGATGGTGAGTGCAGGATTGAGCGATGAGGAAATGGGGTTTGGAGCATGGCAGAGCAGCAGCAGCCCCCCACCTTTCACCCTTCCAGGCCGCAGAAGAGCGTCTGGCATGGCTCGGATGCCAAGGGTCGGCGCCTGCCTGAGAGCTACTGCGAGACGTGGCGGACAGAGGAGCGCGCAGTCGTGGGCCAGGCTTCCTCTTTGGCCTCTGGAAAACTGCTGGAGCAGGCGGCCAGCAGCTGTCAGCACGCCTTCATTGTTCTCTGCATTGAGAACAGCTTCATGACTGCTACCAAAAAGTGATACCTGCCCTGGCACTCCCAAGTACCCCCATGTCCCCGAGGAGGATTGGGCAAGCCTGCACCCCTGGGCCCCTCAGCCCCTTCCACGCGCCCACTCTCGCCCCACAGGGTTTCCTTCTCCTGCAGACCTGAAGCCAAAGAGTATTGCCATGGCCCCTGCCCTGGGTCGGCAGGGGCTCAGGTCCCACCCGGGGCAGGGCAGCCATGGACTGGTGGCCTTCCTCCTCCTCCTCTTCTAACTCCTAATATTTAACCACTTCAGCTTGTTCCCCTCCCTCCTCAGATGCTCTTTTTGGGATGGCTGGGTAGGAGGATGCTTGGCAGGGAGATTTCAGTGCTGCCATGCGGACTGTTCCCTGCAAAAGCCTGTGGGGCCTCTCTCACCAGCCCCCTGGCCCCGCACTGTCCTTACCAGGAGCTTGGGGTTGGACCCAAATCCCTGCTGCTGAGGCCACAGGGTCTTCTGCAGCCAAGACACCAGCATCCCACCGAAGGGACTGTCCTGTGGTGATGGTGGGGCTCTCCCAGATGGTCTCCATCCTCCCCAGGTAAGGACCATCCCATCATCATTGTCACCTCCACCTCCCAGCCAGCAGAGCTCTGATGGGGGTGTGGTCTCCTCCATCCCATCCATGCACCCTGGGGACCCCCGGCTGTGCCCCCACAGCCCAGGTACAGCCACAGCCAGCCCAGCACAGGTACTGGGGTGACAGGGTGGCCCCAAGGTGTGGCCAGCTGTGCCTCTGGCACATGTTTCTCTGTATGTGTGTGTGTTGAGCATGTGTGGTACCAAGGGCAGGCGCTGCCATCCCCCCCTCCACATGCCACCTTGCTGGGCTCGAATGGTGAAGGCACAGCAAAACTGGTTGGAATTGGTGGGGGCAAATCCAAGGTGCTAAAAAAAAAAACCAAAAAAAAAAAAAAAGAAAAAAGAGAAATTTGTAACTAGCTTTTTTTGTTATTGTATGGAAATTATTACCATAAAAGCTGTGCGAGTCACATGGTCTCTATTTCTTACAGTCTACTGTATTTTGTGTCATTAATGGAATTTAAAGCGTGTGGATCTTTACATTATTTTTTGGTCATCATTTTCTAAAGGCACTGAATAAAGAAACATTCTCTTGTAGCCTGGCTCTGTGCCATGATGGGGATGCAGCAGGATGGGGTCTTCATCCATCCCCCTCTGTGACACATGGTGGCGGCACCATGGGAATCCTGCTCACACTCCGTGTGTGGGGGCAGGGAAGGGGCGCAGCCCTGTCTTCACAGAGAAGAAAACATGTCCCAGCGGTTACATCCTCGACAAAACAGCACCCAGGACCAGCAGTGGGACAGGACACCAAGCACACGGTGGCGATGACAATGCTCACTTCAGGAGCCAAGAGCTGGCCACAGTGTCGCGGTGCCAGCACTCAGGCTCACACGGTGCCTGCCTCTGGGCTTTTCTCCTGTGCTGGAGTTTCCACTGGGAGCTGGCACGGCTCTTTGGCCAGGGCCAGCTCCACTGGCTGCCTGCGGTGGCTGTGCTGGACACCCACGCCGATGGCCGCCAGCAGGTAGACCACAGCCAGCAGGGTGAAGTAGCCAAAATATACATAAAACTGCAAAAGAGGAGAGAGGGGAGAACAGCACTTGGAGCCCTTCCTTCATCCCACACCATTCAGGAACAACCTCCACCCTAGGTGCGACCCCATCCCTACCTGGGGATGCACGGATAAGCCCAAGCCCCTCTTGTCCGCCACGATGATGGTGATGATGGTCTTCAGCACAGTAGCAAAGAAGGTGTTGACCCCGAAGACGAGAGCACAGAGCTCTTTGGAGAGGGAGGCAGCAATCTGGAAACTGGGAAAAATGGGAGCACTGGTGAACCCCTGGCATCAACCCAGCCGCCGGGGTGGGAGTGGGTCCCCAGGAGCACCACGCACATGGCAATAGGCACCAGGAACTGGTGGGAGCCACGGAAGAGGATATAGGCAGCATAGCACAGCCAGATGTTGGTGGTGGAGTTCATGAGCAGAAGCAATCCCGCCTGGAATGCCGTAACCACTCCAATCACGAGCTCTGACCACAGCGTCCAGCGGATCTTCACGTAGCCAGCAGCGATGGAGGAGATAGCTCCTGGGGAGGGATGAAGGATGCTGTGAGTACCTCAAGGATCCCCTGCCCTAACTAGGCTGGGATCCAGCCCAGTGACCATCACGTCATCCCCAATGCCAAACCACCAAAAATACCGTAAGGACCACCATTCCCAAGGGGTGTAGCTGGACAGCAGTGACCCCCCTGCCTCTCTGGTGTCCCCAGCCATTCCCACAGGAGGCAGCAGGACGTGAGTGTCCCCGCACACCCCCCATGTCCCCATCCCAGGCGAGTTACCCAGCAGAGTGGAGGCAGCATCCACGCCTCCATTGTACACGTGGCGGTTGTCACTGGTGGGAGAGATCTCGCTCCAGAGGATGTGAGCATAGTACAGCATCAGGTAGTACCCAGCCGAGTTAAAGACCCACCACAGGGACCAGAGGCGGAGCTGGGGCTGCCTGGCCAGCGCCCCCAGCTCCTGCAGCATACGGCACAGCACCATGTCCCGCCAGCCCCGTGTCCCCCCGCCGCTGTGCCCCCCAGCCATCCTGTCCAGCTCAGTGGGCACAGCAGCGTCACCGGTCCTCCCGGGCCGGTTGAAGAAGAGGCTGCGCCGAGGCCGCTCGAGGAAGAGGGTGAGGATGAGGCCGAAGCTGACAAAGCCCAAGGAGATGTAGTTGAGAGTGAGGAAGGAGACACCACCCAAGGTGACGCAGAGCTGGCCCAACACGGAGCTGGTGAAAACCCCCAGGAGCACAGCAGAGCGGGAATAACTGGCCATCCGCTGGTAGCGGGACGGTGTGACCACGGAGAAGATGTAGGAGGAGTAGGCGATGCGGGCAGCCATGGTGATGCCGTAGAAGAACTCCATCAGCTGCATGGCCCAGACAGAAGTGCCCAGCACCAGTAGCAGCCAGATGGAGATGTGGCTCAGGCTCTGCAGCACCAGCACGGGCTTGTAGCGCAGGTAGTCTGTCAGCAGGAAGATGGGCACCAGCACAGCCATGTAGGAGTAGGACAGCACAGGCATGATCACATTGGTCACCTGCCGTGAGGGCAAGGAGGGGCTGAGTGCCGGGCACATCCTTGGGGCCGCCCCCAAACTGCAGATGGTGTGGGCACTGGCTGCTGACCCCCATGGCAGTACCTCCTCGGGGAGCAATGTGACCAGCAGCATGCTTGGCTGGGGGTCTGGCTGAGCCTCGGCCCCTTCCTATGCCTGGAATGCAGCATTCCCACAGCCGCAGCAGCTGGCTGGGATCGAGGCCAGCATCCCTTGGTTGGGAGATGATGACATGGTCCCTCCTTGTCTAACCCCATCGTTGCCAGTGGCCTGGCAGTGCACTGTGCCATCATCTCCCCAGTGGAATGGGGCATGACTTCTCCCAGCCCAGCACCCTCCCACAGGCTGCTAAGGTGGGCAGGGGTCACATACTGCCCCCAAAATCAGTTGCCAGCCTGGGCACGAGGTTTTATGCCAGGGCCAGTTGAAGCTGGGACTCAGGGGACAGGGTGACCTCAGAGCCAAGTGAGACAAGACCCCACAACACACCACCTCCACTCCCTAGAAAGCACCACCACAAGTCACCACACGCTGCCATGCCCAGGACACGACATCCCTGTGCACCCCAGAAGCACTGGGGATGCTCTGGACAGCCCCAGGATGGTGACCGTGGCCATAAAGGGGGACACCAGGGTGGGGGACCAGATGCCCACAGCTCACCTCTGCCTTTGTGAAGCTGCTGTTGGCCCTCAGTAGATAGGGGGTGATGAAGCTCTCCCCGGGCCGGATCTGTGTCATGAAGCCATAGAAACAGAGGTAGCAGACTTGTAGCTTCCAGCGCTGATCCGGCACCATCTCCGACGCTGGCTTTTTGGCACCATCGTTCTTGGGCATGGCTCTGCAGCAGGACAGCGGCATTATCCTGGGAGCCATTAGCTACACAGGCTCTGCTGGACCACGCAGCCCCTCTTTGTCCGCAGGCACTCTTGGACGCATGGAAAACCAGGACGCTGCAGTTTCTGTGGAAAAAGCAGCATTTGGCACAGGCTCAAAATTCCTCCAGAATCACAAGGCAAATAAATACCACTACCTTCACCCCAGGAGATGTTCTGGGAAGAAGAAAAGCAGCCATGCATCTCGCTGTGCAGAAGCAGTGGAGGTCGTTAGGTCATTTCAGGCGGCATTCGTACATCACGTGCATCCGGAGCCTGGATGCATGGAGCATTGGGATCCACAGTGGGGTATCCTCAGCTCCCATCACCTCCTTTTCCTCCCCTGTAAGACTCAGTGGGGTTTTGCTGCTTCCTGGAGCAACACTTCCCTCTGAGCTGCAGAGGCGGAGGGATCCAGATGCCCTGCACCAGGGATGCTCCAGAGGGGATGGCACAGGAATGTGCTGGCTGTGGAAATGAGTTAAAGTGCACACCGGGCATGGGGCCACCCGTGTTACTCAGTAACTGGGTGGCTGGCAGGACTTCAGCTGAGCCGCAGGCACGCAGCTGCCCCTTGGCTCTTCCCAGTGGGACACAATGCCCAGCCTGGGGAGAATGCAAAATGCCACAAGATTCATGGTCCAGAGGGAGATTAAAAGCTCAAATCCTGAGATTTGGCAGTGAGAAAGCTGGCAGTGCCAGGAGACCCAATTAGCAGTCATGGGATAAGGGCAGGAACAGGAGAACAGGAGAAGGCCTGGACTGGTGTCTTCCCAGCACTCCCCACTCCCACAAGCAGTCACCAAGGTGACTTTTCATGCCATATGATTCCTCGTATGCCAATACACGCCATGGGAGCAAAGTTTAGAAACCTGATTACCCTGATAACCACAGAACAACTAATCACAGTCATTAAAAAGTAAGTTCATGGTCCCAGTCTGTGTCCCACTGGATCTTGCATGGTGAAATTAGGGGACAATCCCCTCCCTGCTCCCAGGTAACACAGGATAAATGGGGACATGAGCCAGCATCGGTGGCAGCAGAGGAAAGCTGGCGGTAACCTAAACCTACAGGAAGCCAAGTGTTCATTTGCCCCAGTGAGGACCCACCACTCCAGCAGAATTCCCATGGGATTTCAGCACTGGTGCCTGAGTGTCACCAAAACACTCGTGTACCAGAGCTCACATCTGGGCAAACAGCCCAGAGGATCTAAACAGATCCCTGAGGATCAAAGCAGGCACTCACTCACCCGTCGCCCAGCGAGCCTGTCTGGCAGTGGCTGGAGCACTGGCCCCTGCTGTGGCAGGAAGGCTAAGGGGCAAAGAGCAAGGGGTAACCCCCTCCAAACACCCATCCCAGCACCATGCCGAGGCCACTGCCAGCTGTGAGTGCCTGGACTCTACTCCATTGCTTTACTGTCCCCAGGCTGGGCTGCAGATGTCACCTGCAGCAGCCGCTTGCCTCCACGTGCACCACAACCCCTGTAGGATGTTTGCTACCCTCTGCTCCTCATTCCTGCCCTGTCCACGCAGGAGGGATACACACATGCATCCCTGGTTCTCAGAAAACCATCCACATAAAATCCAGGATGCAGCTCCACGAAGCTGCTCCATTCCCAGGAGCACTGACTCCTAACTTCCACCATGTGTGTCCCCACACACTAAGGGACTCCAGACAAGAACCCACCTGGCTGCACCCAATGCCCCTTCTCCAGAACATCCGTGGATGTTACTCAGCTACTCTGCTCAGGTGAGTGGGCACGAGTCCCAGGGAATGCTCCATCCTCCGTCCTGTCCCTGGTGCAAGCCAGGGAGTGGAGGGAAGAGGAAGAAGGAGAAGAGAGAGGGAGGGAGAGGGAGCATAGCAGGTCCGTTATCACCGTGTGAACCTGTTTATCACCGAGCTATCTGGGTGTGACCTTGACACGGGTCACTGTCACGCCACACACCGCTGTCAGCCCGGGGTCACAGGTGACATGGGCGGCTGAGCTCAGGCTCAGGTACCCGCAGAGCCACGGCCACCGTGGTCCAGAGGGGACAGCCCCCAGCTGCGTGCTGGTGACATACAAGTGACACTGCCAAGGCACCACGTGTTTTGTGCGGGGCTGCCACGCCGAATGGGGCGCGCGGATCCCTGGGGTGCCTTCCCTAAAACAAGGGCTGGGAAGCTCCTGAAAATGCACCCTCCCCCATCGTACGGGCACCTCTCTGCCTCCCACCGCCCAGCACCAAGGGACGGGCACTGCGGGGCGGCGTAGTGTGCGCTTGGCAGAGGAGGGTGTTGGGAGTACCTGCTCACCCTGAAACAGAGGCGGGGGAACAACACAGCACTCGGCACACATCCCCAGCTCCCGTGGGAACAACACTGCCGGCATCCCACTGGGCTCGTCACTGCCCCGGCGACACCCGCGGCCCGCACCCCGTACCTGGTGGGCGGCGGGCATGGGCGCTGCGGGGATCCGGGGCGAGGCGGGGATCCGGGGCGAGGCGGGGATCCGGGGCTCCCCGCTGCCACCCGAGCCCGACCGGCGGCGAGCCCGCGACAGCGACAGCAGCAGGGCCAGGGGGAGGAGGAGGAGGAGGGTGTGGGGGTACCTCGGGAAATGTAGTCGCGCTCCACGTGTGGGGCGGCGCGGAGACTGCAAACCCCAGAGTGCAGCGGGAGGGAGGAAGGGGAGGAGGAGGAGGAACAGGAAAAGCCCCGCCACTCCAGGACGGAGCTGCGCCGGCACCTGTGTCCCGTGTAGGGACAAATCCCCTTCCGAAAGTATCGGCAGGGGTGAAGGACCCCCTTTTCCACTGCCTTCAGCCGGGGTCAGCTCCTTGCCCATCTGCCGTGGCCTCTGGGCTGCGGGCCCAGGGGGACCTTGGTTCTTTTCGCTGATTTATGATACCTCTGCTTGGATTTATTTCTGCCCCGTTTTTTTCTGGGGGTGGATTTGTTCCAGTCTGCTCTGTGCCGTATCCCAGAGGGTCCTGAACAGTTTCCCGCTGTGCTTCAAGCAGAGCTCCCGAAACTTCTCATCCCCTCGCCCAGCCTGGAAGCAACCCCCGAGAGTTGCTTATGGGGTGAGTCCGGCCATCAGGACCCGGAGGGGCTGAATCACGGCCGTGCACTTCTCCCAGAGGGAAGACCATCCCTAGAGGAGGTGGAGCCCCCCGAGAATCGGGTCTCGGAGCTGGTGCCCAATTTCCCGGGAGATGACGCATCTTTCGAGCGCATCTTCTCTTCCCCGCCTTTCCTCCCCCTTTCCCGGCGCTCACCCTGCCAGAAGCAAATGCAAGCTGACAGGGCTCGGCTATTCCGCTGAAATATTTATATCTTCCCGCCTGGAAGTGCGGCAACAGGATCCCAGACGTCCAGGGACTGTCACACACACAAACACACCCGTCCCACCCAAGCAGGGCCAGGCAGCCGTGGATATTCCAACCCAGACGCTTCCAACCCTCCTGAGCCCCCAGGTGGTCCTGGGGAGGGTGGCCAGACCGCAGCAGACGTGTCCGGCAGCTCCCGTCTCCTTCCTGTCCCTCCCGCGGGCAGGTGGGACCGTCTGTCCGTCCCCGCGGGCCAGGATGGCGGCGGGGTTTGGTCCCTCCCTTACACGCAGGCGGGTCCGGCTGCAGGAGCTCCGCAGGGTGTGGTCTGGGGCGATGTTGGGCAATGCCAGCATCCTGGGGCAGAGTCACCCCCGGGCAGACTCACCGTGGGCGGTGTCGCCTGGGACTGCCCCCAGCCACCACGGGGCAGGGGCAGAGATTGGGCAGGGGCAGAGCTGGTTTAGGGGTGTAGTAGGGCGAGGGCAGGGAAGGGGCGGGGGCAGGAGCAGGGACTGAGTGGGGGGAAAGGCAGGAGCTGGGACGGGAGGAGCCGGTTTAGGGGCAGGAACAGGGGCAGGGGCTGTATTAGGGAGAGGGCAATGACGGGGCGGAGGCCGGAGCAGAGACTGAATAGGGGGAAGAGCGGGAGTTAGGACGGAGGAGGAGCAGGCACAGGGGCTGCGGCGGGGGACGAATTAGGGAGAGGGCAGCGGGGGGGCTGAAAAAGGAGCAGGGTTAGAGGAGGAGTTGGGGCACGGGAGGAGCAGGTTTAGAGACAGAAACAGGAGCAGGGACTGGGTCTGGGACGGGAAGGGACGGGACAGGGCAGGAAGTCGGGGGGCCGCGCAGAGCCGGGCGGGTAGCGGGCAGCGCTGAGGGCTCCCGCTCGGCTCCGGCTGCCGCCGCCCCCGGGCCAGCCCTGCCGCTCCCCGCCTGCCCCAGCCGTCCCGCGGATACAGGTACGACTTTGTCTTCTCTCAGGGGTGTTCTGGGCGTGGGGGGCCCGGGACCCGGAGCGGGGAAGGAGGGTCCCCGTGCGGGACGCGGATGGGTGTGGTGGTGGCGACGTCGGGGCTCGGCGGCTCCCTGTGGCTCCCTCACGCCCACCGACCTTGTCCCGTGTCCCCCCGTCCCCAGGAGGTGCCGCCGTGTGCTGCCACCTTCCCGACTGGGAGTTTTCGGTCCCTGGCTCCCAGCCTTGGGAGGCTCCGGGGCTGCTGAAACAATCCCCGTGTGCTGTCCCCGCCTGGGGTAAGTGGGGGTCCCCAAGGGGAATGGCTTTCCGACCCTGCCCCCACTCGTGAGAAATGTGCATAGGGATGGGTGACGGCGGGGATGCGGCGTGACTTTGGGTGGGAATGTCCCGAGGGGTCCCACGGTGTGTTTCTGAGCCCTGGCTGCTGGTTTTTGGTGTCAGCACCCATGGCATCTCCCGAGTGTTAGGCTGGTGGTCACTTGCGAGCCCGTGCTCCAGGTATGGTGGTCACCAAGTGGTGTAAATGCAGCCTCAGCGTCAGTGCTGGGGGTGAGAAAAGGAGTCCCTGGCCTCAAAACTTCCCCTGTAGCCAGGTAGATATCTCCTGGGAACCCATTTCCCCAGGCAGGACTTTTCTGTCTTTACTCCCAAGTCAGGATCATCATAGAATCACAGAATGATTTGGGTTGGAAGGGACCTTAGAGACCATCTAATTTTAACCCCCTGCCACAGGCAGGGCTGTCACCCACTTGGTCACTGAGCTGGTTCTTCAGCATGTGCCTCGAGGGAGCAGTGGGTGCCCTGCACTGGGGTTGCTCCCCACTGGAGCCACCGCCTCTCATCACACGGAGCGGGCTCAGGAGGGGTCGGTTTATTCAGCTCTGGTTCCTGGGGCAGTGTTCATTGCCCACCTCCTTTCGGCAGGTCCTCCCGGGGTCTGGGTGAGACCCATTCTGGGGAGGGGTCCCTGCAGCAGCCTGGCCAATGCAGCATCCTCCGGCACGCGCTGCGCTGCAGGGATCCCTACCCCGTGTGTGTGCTGTATGGCTTCTTGGGGATCACTGCAGGGATTCCCCCAGTCCTGCAGTCAGGGCAGATGAGGCAGCTCAGGGCCGTGGTGCCCCTGGTGCTGAGGGTCTGGGGTAATGCCCGCTGCTGTGGCACAGGTTGGGTGTTCCAGGCTTTCCAGGCCTGGGCAGGGCATGCTGCCCGTCCTTGGGAGAGCCGAGAGCTTCGGTGCATCGTGAGGGATGCAGTACAAGGGAGTGGGTGGTCCTGGTAGGAGACACAGGCCGCTGCACTGGGGGCCTGGGGTGGGCTGGCAGGGCCACAGGGATCCACCAGGACAGAGGAGATGCTCAGCAGCCCCCGCTGCAGACTGTAAGGAAGCAAACTGGGAATGGAGAACCTTGGGGAAGGTAAAAAAGCCACTCAAAATCTCCATGACCTAATCCATGCTTTCAAGGAGTATTTGCATAGCGGCTTGTGGGAGAATGAGAGAGGGAAGTTCCTGTCTGAGCTGCTTTAAATGCCCTGGACAGGTCCATGCAGATACCAAAACGCTGCCAGACTGCTGGGGTGGGTGGAGCGATGCTTGGGTCCGTGGGGGTGTGGCAGGAGGCTCCAGCCCAGGTTAGTGGGTAGGGATGTAACCCCCAGCACCTTTCACTTCTCTTTTTGCTGGCCCCAGGAGAGGCTGAGCTTGTTCTGGGGCCCTGTACAGCAAGGCTGCAGTGCAGCAGTCACTCCTGGGTGGACCCTTCACTCCCAGCCCTGGACAAGGAGCATCATCCCCCATCTTCTTGCCCTGTCCCAGATCAGTGATGCTCGTGCCCATTGCTGGGCCATGGTTTGAAGCTAGTTCCCAGCAGGCTAGTTCCCCCTGTTTTGGGGAAAGCTCATCAAGTCTTGGCACACCAAACAATGAGAATCCCATCAAGAGCTACGGATGGTTGGTGGGTTCCTAAGTGAAACAAGGACTCAGGAGTGCAGGAATCAAGAGCCTTTCCTCCAAAACAGTGCAAATAAAGAGCTTTATATTTTCCACCAGATTTTTTTGAGTTGTGTTTTCACTTTGGTGGACCCCAAACATTGTCCTGTTTGCTGGGCAGGTTTTGTGGTCGGACATTGGGAAGAGAAATTATGTTCCCCATTTGGGGGGGCTGTGTTTCCAACCCCATTTTGTCTGGCAGCAGCCCATCACTGGGGTCTTACGGCATGTCCCCCTCCCTGCCCTTGCCAGGGCAGTGTTGGCACCTGCTGGGTGCACACAGTGGGCAAACCCAGCACTGGGCAGAAGAGGAGAAAGGATCTGCATGGTAGGGCAGCCAGCCAGCTTCTGCCAGGAAAGGGTTAATCCTGGAGCTCCAGCTCTACCAGCTCTCCTGTGGCTGGCTACTTTGGGTAAAAGCTTTTTTGGCTCTATTTCAAGGGCATCAGGCTGGAGAATGACTCATGCATCCCTGCCACCAAGGAGCAAACCCTCTTGTCCCTACTTTCCCAGCACAAGGTGATGAATTCCTGAAAATCCAAATGCTCCAGAGGCCTCTGATCATGCCTTATAGGACTCTGTTCAGCTGGGCTGTGAAAAGCTGCATCTAGGACTTGCTTGTCCTGAGAGAATTACGGTGGTGACATCTCTGGCATGGGCTCAGATGCTTGTGTGGGTGTCCCTAGGATGGGGAGCTGCTGTGGGGGGCACATTATTTGGACGATGCTTTTGCTCCATAACTGGCTCTCATCCCTTTATTCTGCAGGGAAGGAACCACCCATCCAGCTGCAGCCCCACCCTTCCAACACTGCCAGCTGTGCCTTCAGGTTGTGCTGCGCCTGCAACCCACTCCGGAGGTGAGGAGGCAGGAACAGCCCCACCCCAGGCCTTGTGCTGTCCAGGGCACCCTTGGGGTGATGGTGGCATCTTCCACCCTGGCACAGGTGATGCAGGCTGGTGGCCATTCCAGGCTGGTCACTGCTGTGGGCATGGGGTCACAACCATGGGTATGGGGGCATCACCACTGTGGGCACCACCATGGAGTGGTCCCCTTTTAACCAGGTGATGATCTGTGATGAAGTCCCTGCTGCCCAGTGTGCTCTGAAAAGGATAAAAATGAGGCCTTTTGGTGATGGCAGTGGCTGAGGGCATCCAGGGAACATCTCCTTGTGCACAGGCAGAAAATGGAGGGCTTGGGAAAAGTTTTGAGGTTTCAGGGTGAAATAGTTTCATACCAGGCAGCCTAATCCATCTCTGGAGTGACCCTGCTTGGGGGGGGAGCTGGTCCAGAGACGTCCAGAGATGCTCATTCACTCTGTGCCTCTAAACTTTCCTTAAAATATTGAAACAATTCCCTATTTAAAGGCTTTTATTGGACTGATAACATGAAGGCAGGGCGTGACAACATGAGGCCAGGGTATCTGAGAAATGAAGCCCTTCCCTGGAACAGTGTGGCTCCTGGCAAGCCTGTCCGTGGTGGTTTCCTCTGTGACTCTGTTTCCCCACCTGGAAAACAGGTTTTTCTGGAGTTCCCTCAGGGAAATTTTGGGATTTTCCCCAAATCTCCCCTCCAGGGCATGGGGATGGATTAGTGGGGGACTTGAAATTGCCTGTTTTGACTGCATAGCTTGAGTGGCCACGATTCCCAGGGACACACCAGTGGCTCACCCTCTGTCCCAGGCCATTCCTTTGTATGTGCAGTGGCACCCAGAGAGGTGGCACTGATGCTGTGCCGCACTCGTGGGTGTCACACCTCATCAGGGCTTCCCCAGGCTCTGCTGGCCATTCATGGTGCTCCAGCCGAGGTGCACGGTGTAATCCAAACCCAGAGGCCGCACATTCCAGCCTGTTCCTTTTCCATCCTCTCCCTGGGCTGCAGCCTCCTCCTTCCAAGCGTTTCTGAGAGCTCTCCTGCCTATCCTCATCAGCTCTCCCTCCTTGGAGTTTCCTGAGTAGGGCTGACAATATCTGGCAAGACATTTGTCCCTTGTGAGCACACAGGAGGAGTTTTCCAGCCCTTAGGCAAGGGAAGAGGGGGAACAAGAAGAGAGGAGGGGATAAAAAACCACAACCCAGAAGAATGAAGAGTGGCATGAAATTTGCTAACCTTCTCACTTTCCGTGGTCTCTGAAGCAGGAGGAAAATGAATTGGAGAGGGTTGGCACTTGTGGATGGCCCTGGGAGCAGGACCATGCTGTGTGTCCTTGGGCTGACCTATGGGTTGGGGTCTTTGGTCTAGGGTCTTTCTGAAGGACATGGGGTGAGTGTGGCTGGGGGTGATGTCCATGGTGGGATCTGCTGTGGGGCTTTGACATCAGCACGTTGTCATTCCCAATCCTTCTGAGGATATCTGTGTTTTGGAGAGAGCATGTTTGGCTCTCTAGATCCCATCCTGTGAATCTGAACTAACTCTCTCCAGTGGACTTAATCCTCCTCCAGCAGTGAGGAAGGACCAGGGAATCCACTGTGGGTAACCCACCTAATCCCGGTGGCTGCTCCTCCGGCTTCCCATACCCACCAAGGACCTCTCAGTCTTCAAGAAGCCTCAGTCATGGCTGGAGAGCATTTTGGAAGTTTTAAGAGCTCAGCAGATGAGGTTTTCTGCACAGAGACGCCAGCCACTGTGCCTCTCTGCACTGGGCATGTGAGGCTTAGCTCGCTGTGACCTGAATGTCTGCTTGTCCCCAGAATGGGTCTCCACCAGGTGCCCAAACTCCTGGTGCCCTCTCTGCCCTCGGGAGTGCTGTGATCCCTCTGGTTATGCTGGGTGCTGCTGGGTTTGCTAGAGGAGGGAGGAAAAGGTGGAATGTTGAGCTTCCCCCCCTTGCCAGCTGATTTATCCTCTAGGAGATTAGTCCCTTCCCTGACTTATGGGGGTATTTGTGGCTGCTCCATCTGCTTGAGTCCAGCAGATCAGCGGGTGCCAGGGAGGAGCAGCCTGAACCCAGCTGCTGTTTGCACTCCCAGGCATCCCAGGGAAAGGGTTGCACCCTTCTTTTGTGCGTTTCTGGCTATATTTGTTAGAAAGGAGCAAAAATCCCTGGAGCCAGGCAGGTGATGGAGTTTAGACCTGAGACTGTTTGCTGGTGGAGGTGGTGAAAACCATGTGAAGTAATGTCAGTGTTTTTAAGCTGCTTTTTAGACTGGTTAAAAGCCTTGAGGATGCTCCAGGAGCTCCCCTTTCGGCCAGGACACTCGCAGGGAGGTGTTTTCTCTGTAAATCCACTTGGCCTTTAGGAAAGCAGGCAGGCAGGTGGGGAGAAGAGCATTTCACTGTGGGATTTTGCGGGGGAATGGGCTGTTTGATGGCTCACAAGTACTTTTAGACCAAGGTTTTCCTGAGGGGAAAGCTGGGAGGCAATAGGAGTGATACAGGGCTCTCCGTTCTCCTGCTTCATCGCTCCTGTCTTGTTACCAGTGGAAGGTGGTGGGTAGGGAAGAGGCTGGAGGTGAGTTAGGGAAGAGCTTGTGACAAATGGGCTTAGGGAGGCTGGATTTATAGAGACTGACAGAACTAGGTTTGTGGAAGTGTGGGGGGGTTGCTGAGTGACACGGGGGGCTGAGGCATTGCTGAGTGCCATCCTACTCCTGGGATGTGGAGACCACAGGACACAAGGAGCCTTTGCCCGTGCCCAGATCCCAGCCTAGAGCAGGTCTGGTGTGCTGCTGGACCCAGGAATGTGCTCCCTGCCATGCTACTGCATTTTCCTGGGGAATGGGGCCACATGGGACCCTTCCAGATTTCCCCCCCCCCCCCCCCAGCTCTCAGAAAGCACCAGTTTCTCTTTTAAGGTGGCAGAAAAACACAGGCAGGCGAGATTTAGGCAGCATGGATGAGCTGCTGGGATGTCAGCCCCGTGGCCATCCAGCTCACCTACGCCTGCAGAGCCTGAGGGTGACTGCTGTTCTCCTTCCCCTGCTGTGTGGTTAGGAACACCGATGGAGGCTGCCAGGTGTCAGCCTGGAAATCTTTTAACTTTTCCTCATCTCCACAAATGGACAGTGTCTCTGCTCATTAGGTACCCACCCAGGGGGCAGATGTCAGCTCTGCTCATGGCTTCTCTTAGCTCATCTCTGCCCAGGTTCCTGATGGCTCCGCAGCGCTCAGGTTCCATCACGTCACCGGGCTCTGCCCATGGGGCTGCCCCTCTGCCAGCTGAGCAGCACCTCCCCTCTGACCCCTGCCCCAGGCTTGCTGCCTCCCCCTCCTCATGGGTAGTGTTTGCAAGGATTTTTAGTTAAAAGGCTGGAAAATCTCAGGCACCGGTGACACTGTGTGTGTGTGTGTGCAAAGCTGGAATTGGTTTTCCTCACCCAGGCAGTACATGGGAGGAGAAGGCAGCTCTGAAGGCTGCCCTTTGAGGCTGATGCATCCCGACAGCTTGTTCACTGGGACATCAAAATCATTACCTCTGTCTACATGGAACACCCAGGGAGGCGGATGATGGGAACACGGGTCAGGGGAGGATCCCTCTCTCCCTGCACAGGGAGCAGTGGCGTCCAGAACCCCAGAGCAAAGCAGATCCAGGTGATGTGGGGGCTGCTGCATCCCCAGTGGAGGGAAGGGGAGTTCCCTCCAGCACAAAGTGGGCTGGCAGCCTGGGGGATCAATGCAGGTGGAGCCATCTCACTGGTATTTCTGTCTTTGGGTGTACAAGGTTTGGTGATATGGTGGGAGAACGTCCCCATCCCATCCCATCCCATCCCATCCCATCCCATCCCATCCCATCCCATCCCATCCCATCCCATCCCATCCCATCCCATCCCATCCCATCCCAATCTCTATTCCTGTCTCATCTCATTCCATCCCATCCTATCCTGCCCCATCCCATCCATCTCATCCCATCATATCCTGTCTCATCCCCATATACCATCCTGTCCATCCTATCCCAGCTGTTCCCATCCTCATCCCATCCCTCTCTCACCACTGCACAGCATGTCTTCCAAAAGACCTTGAATTTTCCCTGGAGGGTCACAGCAAAGCTATAGAACCTCTCCAAGCTCTCCATGCTCTCTGCAGAGCTTGGGCCTCACACATGTGCCCCATGGTCCCAAACATCCCAAGGAAGTTCCTGATGGTCACAAAAAGCCAGGGACTCACCAGTGAGGGGAATTTGAAGTCCTGAGTTTGCAGGAGAGGCAGGATGGGTGTCGCTGCAGGCTTTGGCATTTTTGGGAAAGGGGAGTAGGGGATGTGGTATTAGGGATGGTAGGATAGGGCCTGCCTGAGCAAAAGCAGGGAGTTTTCACAGCCCTGTGGGACCAGGCATGGGAACTGCCCCCACGTGGAAGTACCACCAGCTCACCTTGGAAGCTAGGCATGAGCAGGGAGCTACCCTCAGCTCCTTCCCCTTGGCATTCTGCTGATGGCCCCCGATTTGTCCATGTGTTTGCATTTCCTCCATTCCCATCCAAGACTAAATTTCGAACCCCCTGGAATGAGGTGGCTGAGGGCTCCAGCGCAGGTGGGGCCATCAAGCTGCAGTGTTGCCCAGCCCCTGCGTCCGTGTGGCCTCACTGGAATGAGTTAAGGGCACTGAAATGCTGTAGTCTTGAGAGGCTGATTTTTGGGATTGGTCACATCAGTGCATTGGAATTCCTTGTGTCCTCAGGTGCTTTTATCTGGGAGCAGTAGGTGGGATTTTGCTGAGATCTGTGCACTCTGCTGTTCAGAAATTACTTCTTCAGCATCCTGAGTGATCCTTTTGAAGATTCCTGACCAAATTTCCTGATGGGATGTAGTCCATGAGAGCTAGCAGGTGAGCTGTCCATGCAGGGATAGAGCTGTGTTCTCCACTGCCACGGATCAGGAGGTGGAAAGCTTTTGGTGGGAGGGCCTATTGGCCTGCAATGCATGCTTCAGTGGAGAGAGCATCCAGGGAAAAAAATTCAGTTGGCTCCTTTGCTTTTACTGTCAGGGCAGCTACAAGGTGCAGGGCCTTTGGCCATGCTGTAGAGAGGATTTGGGTAGTGATGGCAACGGTGATAGTCCCCCAGCAGCCCAAATGTTGCTTATCCATCTTATGATACCTTTTAAGACAATTTCTGAGTGCTCTGGACTGGTCAGTGATGAGGAAGGAGCCACTGTGGTGTGATGTGGCAGGTGCTGGATGGCTGTGCTCAGCAGAATCTTTTGGAAAGCGCCCCACTGGAGCTGTCAGATAGTGCTTAAAGCAGCCAAGATGCCCTTTGCAGTGCTGAGGTTTCTGCTTTTGGGTTGCTTGAGGTTCACTCTTAACTGTGCTGGAAGTGAGGTTGTCCCAGCATAGCACCAAACTTCCTGTGTGCCTGGAGGTGACCTGCACCCCGATGGCAGAGAACACCTCGTGCACGTGCACTGGTGCCTGCTACAGGAGCACAGGGTCGTGGCTGGGATCTCACCTGCAGCTTGCTGGGTGGAAGGGGTGGGACATAACAAGGAGCAGAGCTGCTGAAAAATGGACCCATTTTTGGTTAAGAAAACTGCTAAAAAATTCCTTAATGCTGTGTTTGCTGGATGCTAAGCCTTGCCTTAGGATAAACTCAAACCTAGGACCTGGAAGATGAGTGCAAGTCTCTTCCCCCATGAATTTATGGGATGTGGGTTGATGATTTGTGCCTGCACTGGCTCTGGGAAGAAGGATTGGGGTTTCCTTGCAACCATCCCAGCATCCCTAAATCCTTGCTTGATCTCCCTTTTCTTGGGTATGTTGATGAGACTGGTGCTGTGATGAGGATTTTCCCTTCTTATTATGAATCCTGGAATCAGTGACCAGCAATTGGTACTGAATGGAATAAAACAATTACCAAGGACTCCTCTGATTTGGCCGTGGGCTTCCCTGTTCCCTGTGTCGCCCTTGGCCACAGCAGCAGGGCTGGGAGGATGCTCTGTGGACTCGAGGTGGGGGGCTGCCTGGGCTCCTCAGGGTGCTGAGATGTGCTGTCTTCCAGATCCTTCCCTGCCTCCTGCACTGCTGACCACCAGCTCCACGGGATCCCTGACCTGGCCCTGCGGGTCTTCCAACGGTGAGTCACAGTTTGAGGTTTCCATCCTTTCTAGGTTTTTAGCTTTGGCCAGAGCCCATGGGACTTGATGTTGTGATTGCAGCAGTTACTGGGATTTAGAATTTAGCTGGCTGGTGTAAGCTCAGTGGAGAGCGGGGAAGTCCCTCAGAGTACATCCTGGCACCTGTGCTACTTGCAGGTGACACCAGCTGGGGATGTAGCCACTACCTTGGAGGACATGGAGAGAACTTTTTTGAGAGGAAAAAACATAAATTATGAGGACAGCTAGTTGCTGAGAGGGGCCGTGTCTGCTTTGTCCTTGGAGGTTTTCAGCCCCAAAGGGATAAAGCCCTGGGCAGCCTACTCTGACCTTAGTGCTGAATATGCTGTGAGCATCAGCAGGGCTGAAGACTGACCTCAGGAGGTCCCATGGGCTCTCCTGCCACTGACAGGCTCCTTCCCATGGCAGGAAAGTGCCCAGGTCACTGGGGATGAGCGTGGAGGTTGCTGAGTCATTGGGAAGAGGAAGGTTTTCCTTGTTAACACATAAGGTGCCCCAGCACACTAAGAGCAGCACCAAGTTCAAGCAAGGGGTCTGCAGCTCACCCATCCTGCTGCCCAGGGAATATTCTGAGCAGTGGAGAGGTTTTCCTGCCCTCTGGCACTTGGTTTATTAGTGGCTGAGGCTGCTCCATTGATTGTATTGACAGGTAGTGCATGCCCCAGTTAACTTATTGAGGGCAGCAGCAAAAATCCAGCTGGCACCTGGAACCCATGGTGCTGAAACGTGCTGCATCCTTTCCATCACTGCTGGATTTCTGCACGAAGCAGGCCCCTGGCTCCACAGCTGGGCACAGCCACAGGCAGGTGACCACAGAGGAGGACTGCTGGGCTGTGGTTACTGGGGAGTCTCTCTGGCATTCCAGGGATCTCCTCCTCCACAGGATGATTTCCTGTGGTTGGTGGATTCTGAGGGTCTGCCCAAACCTGTTTGCAATGCAGAAAAAATTCTGCTTGCCTACCCAAGCACAACCTGGAGGTGATGCTCTTGATCATTTTCCCCCATTCCCCAACCCAATCTGTGTTTTACCTCTCTCTGAAGTTCACATTATGCAGCTTTGGTCTTTCCTCTGTGCTGTGCTTTAACCTCTGCCATGTCCTGGTCTGCAGGCTCGTGCCGTGGACTGCTGGGTTCCCCCCCATGCTCAGCATGCCCTTTTCTGGTGCAGCCAGACCTTCCCAGGAACCACTCTGGAGCTCGAGGCCATCCTGTAGGGTAAGGTAAGGTCCTTTCCAAGTCATACAATCCCAGTACAGCTCAGATTGGAAGGGGCCTTAAAGCTCATCTTGTTGCATGGGGACACTTTCCACAGGCCCCATTCAACCTGACCCAGAACACTTCCAGGGATGGGGCAGCAACAGCTTCTCTGGGCAAATCTTGGGAGGAGGGACCTTTGCAGGTCCCTTAGGCTGTAAAACACCTACAGGGAGGGTGCTGGGACCTCTCTCTTGCATCTGTACAGGTCTCTCAACCCACCGTCTCTGCCCTTGCCACCTGCTTATGGGAATCCAGGGCATCCCTCTGGCTGCCCTGGCAGGTCTGGGACCCTGGCAGGGGTCAGGAACCCCCCTGGACAGAGCCCCCAGAGACACTGTCTGTGATCTCTGTCCATGGAAAAGAGTTTTCAATCTTACAGGGTGTATTACAAGCTCTGAGTGTTTGATATAAGTAATAATTAAGTGCGGCACAGGTGCAAAAGTAAAATTTTAGGATTCTAGATTAGGGGTCCAAAGGGATCAAGATGGAGGAAATTGGGTGTGTCTTGTCCTTTTTCTCCTTCTTCATGCCCTCCATGTTTCACTGTGGTGTTGGCATTTTTCTGTTGGTTTAGGCTGGGGACACACTGTCCAACGTAGGTGACAGATATTGGCACGTTATTGTAAATCCAGCACAGGTAGTTTGTGGTATTTAATGTTTGTACCATCCCACTGAGGGCAGAGCCCCACACGCTGCCCTGCAGGACAGACCTGCGGCAGGGCAGCAGAACATGTTAGAGATAAACAGAATAAACAACCTTGAAACCAGCACAGACCAATTATGGCTTCTGCTTTGGCAACGGGGCTGAAAGACTTCCTACCATCTTGGGATCATTTAAGTATGACAGATTCCGACACCTGCTTTCCGCCATGCTGCATTAAAACCAGCAAAAGAGCTAAGCTGGGAAGTGCAGAGATGGGGTGATTTTCATCAGCCCCTCTGCTTTTGTGACTAAAATAGATCAGGAGTGGCCACAGGCCATCGTATTGTCCCAGGCATTGACTGGCGCGAATGGATGGCAGTGCAACATTTCCATTAGTGGGGGGGGAGGATGCGTGTCTCCGAGGGAGAAGACAGCTGCATAAAGCAGAAATGTAGTGACAGATAAACTCATTTCTCTTTTCTCCCATTCCTCTTATGAGTGTAGCTTCTTCCTGTTTTCTGCAGGGAAAACATTGGGAGGGACTGGCTAGAGCAAACAGCCTGCACCTGCAACATAAGGGGGTGTTTTGGGTAGGGGGATGGAGGTTCCCCAGCAGAGCTTTAGGTGACCCAATAATGTGCAGCAAGGATAGAACTTACAAAAAAAATACTTTGAGGAGGTTTATCCATGGTCTCTGGTGATGTAGTGGATACTGGTTGTGTCTGGTGTGAGGTTTCCGCCATCACCTGTCCAGCAAGTGTGTTTTATTCTCTGGTTTTAGTGAATACACTTTCCTGCAATAAGGCTAAATTTGGGTGAACATCACAATATCTCATAGCTCTCATCTCCCTCTGGTAAGGTCTCTGACATAATTTTTCTTCCTTCTCATGCTCCCTGTCCAGTATCCCATCCCTTCTCCCAGGTCTGTGTCCCAGACTGTCTCCCACATCCATAAGAGGGAGAGGAGCCTGGTGCCTGTCTCTCACAAGCCCTCAGACAAGGCTGTGTCTAGGATCTCTTGCTCCATGGGATTCCATCGTCAGAACTCAAGGCTGATACTATGTGTGTGGTGTCGTGACATTTTTAGAGTAAAATTACAGCTGGGAGAGACACCTGGAAGAACACAAGGTGGGATTGTGGGCATTGTCCTGTGCAGGACCAGGAGTTGGACTCGATGATCCTTGTGGATCCCTTCCAACTCAGGATATTCTGGGACTCCACACTGAAAAAAAACTGCTGCTCCATCTCCCATCCAGGTGACGGGATGAGTGGTCAATGCTGATGCTGGAATATGGAGACTCTACGGGGTTAGCAATGTGCTCAGGTGGGAATGCTGTGGGGTGGGAATTGCCCATTCCAGCAAGGCAAACAGCTGTGACACAAGGCTGCAGGGTGATGATGGGGACATGCCTGCCATTGCCAAACCATTTCCCAGTTCGACCCTTCTGCTCAATCTGAGCTTGAAGGTGAATGAGTGGAGCTCACCCATCGATCCAAACTGGGCTGATGAGCACCATGCCCTGCGGAGAGCTCGGCCCCCAGCCCATCTCCCTCTCTTCCCCCTTTTGTTCCTGCCTCCCCTTCACGCCTTTCCAAAGCCATCAGTCAGAGCATAGCACCCTGGGCTGCTGACCTTGCTAGGGGCTAGGGGGACAACATATAGGTCCCTGTAGAGAGCCGTTCCACTGTCTGATGGGCTTCTCCCAGTTGCCACTGCCACCTCTGCGCTGCTGGTAAGCCTGGCATCCACCTGCCATCAGCTTGGGATGTGGGGAGGCATGGGACAAGGCAAAGGGGTTGGTGCCCATCGTGCCAGGAGCCACATTCTTTCTAGGCAGTGATGTTATCTGCCAACCGTACACTGGTTCTCCTGATTTAAGGGCTCTGATGGCCTCACGTGGGAAAAATACAATCTGAAGCATCTCTTAATCTTTAGCTAAAATGTCATGAACTGCCAAAGTGTATTTTCTTACCTGCTGGGAAACAAAACCTGATTTGAGGTTGGAAATTTAGAACTTGTCTTGGCTAATGTGTAAAAAGGTCAGGTTTTGGGGGAAAAGAAGATGATGCGCCTTTGATTCGCGTCTTCTGTGCTTTAGCCACAGATTTTTTTTCCGCAGCTGAAAATAACAAACCATTTAAATCCAAGTATTGCTTATTCTGATCTTTTAATCCAGCTTGCTTTCTATCAGCACAGTGGCCTGAAATGATTTATCCACCTGCCTCTCTATTATATAATTATTGGGAAGATTACTGGGGAGCCAGCTTTAGCTTTTCTGGGGAAGGAGGAGGGGTCTGAGAGATGGGGTGAGGGTTCATGGAATCACAGAATCATGGAATGCTTGGGGTTGGAAAGGATCTTAAAGGTCATCTCATTCCAAACCCCTATTGTGGGCAGGGGCACCTTCCACTGTCCCAGGATGCTCAGGTTTTTTCTCTGTGTCCATCAGAAAACATGGGAGGGACAAGCAATGAGCTGGGTGCTTTGGGCTGTGGCCATAGTTTGCATTTGAAAATTTTACTGTGGGAAGTTTCTCCCTCAGTGTGTATTCATTGGAATTGAGTGCCCCATAACCTGGCTGGAGCATGACCCTCCAAGCTAGAGAGGATTTGGGTGAAACCCTGCACTTTTCTACACTGTTTGGTGTCTTTTATGGCTGTACTTGTGGTTTTGGGAACAGCATGGTCAGACAGTCTGGCCTCGGGAAGAATCTGGAATTAGGGGTTGTGCTCCCGATGCTTCCCATGGCTGTGCAGAGCTGTGGAAGGGGAACATCTGCCAGGAAGAACGAGCATTGGGACATGGTGGTGATGCCAAGAAGGGCTGGAGGTGGCCACGGCTGCTCCACCAAGCTGGTCCTCCCAGGAGCCTTAGGTGCCACTCCTGGATAAGGTCTTGAGCCCTCAGGTGATGGGGTGGCTGGTGACAGCTGCTCTGCAGAAGGGCTCTACCAAGGGCAAACGCCCAAGGTAGATTTGGCTGTAGCTTTCAGGTGAAGTATCCCTGGCATGGAAAGATGGCACAGCCAAGGGTTGGCACACCCCGGTGGACACTTGGGTTGCCAGAAAAATGCTGTTTCTGACTGGTCCGACTGGCTTGAGCTCTGATGGACAAAACATGAGGATATCTGAGAGCTCCAAAAATTCCTTTTCCCTTCCCCAAATGGAATGTCTGGACACCAAAGGTCTGGTACCTGCCCTGGCTACTGAAGGAAGGACAGGAGGTGCTTGGCCTGTGGACCATGGCCAGCTGGGACAGAGCTGGGTGGTGGCTCAGAGCTGGGACAAGGGAACACCCCCAGCACCAGTCAAAATCAGATACTGGGAGCAGTGGCTTGGCTTTCCTTGCTCCACAGGGTCTCGGGGATCTTTTTGGGATGCCCAGAATTGGGCTTCATTTTGGGCTGGGTGAGTGACTGTGGGGGGACACTGAAACACTCTTTGGGCCTGGTGGGAGTGGGCAGTCTCACCCGGAGTGTGCCACGCTCCCTCCAGTGCTCTTGGTCCAGCTTCCCAGAAACTGTTCCAGCAGCCTCCAAAGGAGGAGATTGCCATCTCTTGGAGCAGTTGTTTGGTGCATCAGCCAGGAGGGTAGCAGAGGATGGGAACAGCTGTGGAGGGGTCAGGACCAACATTGGGGCACGAGATCATCTGGTTTGGGTGATGGAGCAATTGTAACACATCCGCTTCCTGCAGGGAGCCAGCTGAACTCTGGGATGTGCAGGCAGGGCTTCAGCTGGTCCTTCCCACCGTGCTGCTGCTTCTGAGATGAAGGGTTTAGCACAGCCTGTCCCTCCCAGAGGCTCTGGCCCTGCACTGGGTGGGCAAGCACCCTGTAAAACATGCCCAAATTTCCCCCTGCACACGGGCAGCACACCGGAGCTCATCTCATGCTGGGATCCTTTCTCCTTCATGTTGAAAGCGTTGGCTGGTTCGCTCTCATCGCCTCGAGGCATCCAGATTTGCTCAGTGGCCTTTAAAAAAATAATAAAAATAAATAAATAAATCAACGTCCATGAAATGACAAGAGCATCAGCAGTGGGTGCATCCCCCTTTCCAGCAAACCCAGGGATTTGGGAGAAAATAGGTCATGTGCCCTTCATCCCATGCCACGTGGTTGATCTCCCAGGGCCAATGAGGTTGGGAGCCTTTCCGCGCTGAACAGCGGAATAAGAAAAAAAAAATCACTGGGATTTTTTTCCCCCCTGTAGCATTTTTCATCCTTTCCAAACGTGAAAAGACTGGCCATCTGTCTGGATCCCCCTCCCACCAAAGCAGCACGAAAGCGGTTCTTTGGGAAAGGTAAGGAGATTTA